TAAAGCCTGCGAAGCATTGAAGGACAAAAGAGAGGACTTGAAGTATTTACTATCAGGTTTATGATGTTAACGTCCGTTCAAACAATAAGGACGAAGACGCTTAGGACTCTTGTGCCTTAGTTTTGATGCACTTAAAGGATATAATAGCTGGATTCAGTTTAGTCTTGTGAATGGCAAATTCGTGATAGTCGAAAGAGCAAATATAGTTGGGGTCGGAGGGGATAGAACATAAAGCAACAGCAAGGCGTAATGTAAGAGCTCAGTAGTGACAAATGATTCGTATCACCTGAAACAATCCTCAGTTATTACATCAGTTTCAGAGAATGTGAAACGAGGTTTAATCACAGAAAGCCATAGATACTGTTTAGAGAATCGAAAATCACAGGTTGTGAAATTGACGTAATATCAAGTGAACATTTGCGCATGATGAAATAATTAAATGTCATACAAAGAGAAGGCATATGCGAAGATGACTTAATAAGAGAATTAAGTAAAATAGAAAGCGGAAAAGGACAAAATGCCTTTGAATTCCTCAACTAACCATAATTCGTGAATTTACTTAACCATCGCATTTATGGCTGCAGCAATAACCCTGTCATATTGGAATGCGAATTGCCATTTTGTTAAATTTAAAAACTCATAAATAAAAACTTAAACCAAGGAGTTCAGAATGGAACGCCCAAACAAACGGAAAAAGGGCTTGAAAATGCCCAACAGTCAGATACCTTGTAACAAATTTAATAAGAGGAAAAGTTTAAATACATCTAGCTTTCCCGATTTACATTTACTATAAACTCTTATCCTCAAGAACGCCTAGGAAAGCGTTATCAGACATTCACATTTGGTAGAGAAGAAGCCCCACGAAGCCCCCCTCCCCCCCCCCACCCCCGGTGAAAAAACAAATTCTTTCGGCATCGACCCCTTTATTAACCTGACTAAAAGCGAGCGGTTAGCCATTCCACTCACTGGATGTACCCCAATGAGCACCGAGCCCAGGCGTCATATATCGCGGATACTTCACCACCCGTGAACTATATAATTCTCATATTCTTTAAAGAAAAATAATGGTAACTAAGATGGTCATCTGGCGATGTGAACATTGTAAGCAGATGTAGATGAACTGTAGCGAATCATCTCCGCAATCTGCGGGAAGTTGCTGGATCTCAGGTGTAAGCCACGCGAGAGACCATGATTTTTGTTCGATAGTTCATTGACAACGGATCAATAAAGTTCAGGGATATTAGCCTCCAATTATACAGACAAATTTCTATGTAGATGTTAAGACGAGAGTGCCCCACTCCTCAAGTCGTTTAAACATGTGCAGATAAAGATTAACACTCATAGGAAATGACTGATGATAAACACAATTATAAGAATGTTTACAAATGACTGCTGAATGGAAACTGCATACTTTTTACCATCTATAAGAGCAAGCTGATTTGAATTCTGTGGCCTTGAGTGCCGTTCGCCTGCATCTTAGACATGAATGCATCCCTAATTTGAGCATAGTAAACCAAATTAGCTGAAGCATTCCAAGATCGGGAAAGTTAGGAAGAACACTTTGGGAATTACCTATTTTAATTCTACTTCGCTAATCCAATGAAAGTTGGAACCGTTATTTGCTTTAAGGAGAGATGAGCTAAATGAGGTACATGGATTGATATAATTATTGTGCAAAACAAATCATTCACAATTACAGTATTACAGCCCCGATAGCATTTATTTGTTTTGAAAATGCGCATGGTTCAAGGCCCATTGCTTCCTATTGGGCAATAAGAATTCAATAGCACCACAATTTTGTATTCTAAGCCTCCACTAAAACTTCTGCTGAAATAAATGGTCTTGGCCTCCTCAATAATTATTAAAGCGTTGCTGGACACAGGAACCAAAACATTTCACCCCAACATATGATCATGAAAATTCCGGAAATGCCAATTAGACATAACACAGGAAACTGAAGTATTTAATTATTAAACAATAGAGATGAGTAAAAGACCCACTGTAGCATCTTCTCTTTACAACTAAGAGTGAAGTGAGTACGCAAGAGCGGATCGGTTAAAACAAACCTAAAGGTGATGTGTGCCTGAAGAACTGCTTAGATGGGTTCGAAAACCTACGCTACCGTCATCATCATCATCATCTAGATTTTGCCTACACAGATGACGAAATGAATGAAGTAAACAAAACGCTAAATGAAAAACTAGTCCTGGGACCAATGTAAAGCCGAGTCCTCCTAATTCTTTGACTCAGTCCAACAGCACATTTTGAGCACAATGAACAAGATACAATTTACACCCAGAAAATATTTGCATATGATAAGAATTTAAGAAAGTATATTACTGTCGTAAATACCAAGGTAAGACAAATGCGACGATATATTCTTAAAAAGCGTTTCATTTGATTTCTGTGCCTTTTCACGTAAAGTAACACATGTGATGACAACAGTCAATTAACTTAAGCCAGACTTTCCAAAACTCCAGGGTGCACACAGTGATGACGACACATACCCACACATCAATAAAATGTCACACTTATATGAAAAGACAATAGGGATAAATTTTAAGGAATCAAACATTTACGGATGTATTCCCTGTGCTATCTTTAGAAGCTTAAACAAATTCTCATTGATATACGTGACGCCAATGAGGGTGGATGACTAAAAACCACCTTGAACATGGAAGAGAATAAGTTGGTCAACAAAAGACGATTAGGTAGACATTCAATGCTCTCTCAAAATTGCGTATCTGAAGAAAGCAACAAGCTGTCATGACAGTACTGCAAGGGCCAACCAGTTAATGTACATAATAAAAACAGGTTTTGTGGCCTCTCTGAGGGTAGGTATAAAATCAACTTGCTCCGAGGTCTGAGATAGAGGCTGAATTGAGGCTTTAATAGACAAGAATGGCGCTTCTTTTTACTAAAACTTATGCAATAGTGCAGTATCCGTGTCTACTGGACTTCTTTTAAATCTATTTATTCGATTTTGCAGTTACCTTAAATATTCTTGTTCCTTTTTTCCCGTAGAGACTGTCAAATTTATCCTTAACTCCCTTTAAACGCAAGTAGTAAAGTCCATAGGAGAAAAAATAATAAAATAAGCTGGTTTTACTGGAGGGAAAAAAGAAAGGCAACATGACACTTACTTATATTTTAACGAGTGGATCACAAGTGCGCATAAGACAAATATGAAAAAAAATAGCTGCAAAACAGAGATTTTCAAGTCCTTGGTGCTAATGGACGATACCTACTAGGGCATGCTCCAAAAATTCATAGTGGTTGCTATGCTTATGAACATGATTTAAGTAGGTCGCAATCACTGCATATTGACGCGTGTAAGTCACTGGAAGGTTGAACACAAGCACACATAAATTTACTGGTAATTACGATTCTGTAAAACCAGACAGTGCACCTGTCTGAAGGGGGTCAAAAGTGGACACTCAGAGAAAATAGAGTAAATATAAAGCGCGTTGATTTGCTGCGAAAGCAATCCTGATTGATTAAGGCACTATTTGAAGCTTAGAAACCCAAATCAAATGCTAACACAATGGGATTATACAGTAAAGGTACAGGAATGATTTTGTCAGAATGGTGATCCAGACGTCTAGCGCGAACAACAATCAGAAGAAGAGGGTTTAAATTCAAGAAAAAGTCTGATAAAATGTCATGGACGAAGAAGAAGAAGGCACAAGAATTTTGTTTGTAAAATAGAAGGGTCAACCAAGAGGAAAATTGTCTCCAATAAATTGCGAAATTACGTCTCTACAACAACCTTCGGATGTGCTGTCCGATGGGGTTAAACGGAAGTCTGCAAATGAGGATACAAACGAAGGTATGAAGAGAGAAGTGGGGGGGGGGGGGGGGTGGTTTAGGCAATAGCAAATTCTTTAGTAAATAGGAAGCGCCAGACACTTTAAGTAAATAGAATGAAAAAATAACATTTTCTGAGAAACACAAATAATAGACAAGGGCCATATTTTTTGTACCTTCACAGAAGAGTAAACAAAACGGGCAAAGTCGTGAATTTAATGAAGAAATGAACCAAACGAAGAGAGCTGAATGTATGCCACTTGACGAGCGAAAGAGGTGCTGAGGCGATAGGTAATGTATTCCTGTGAAAGATAAATGGTGAAGTACTACAGATTGGAACAAATATCGCAACTAGCTACTATTGGTCGAAAAAAGGGAAGATAGGGTATTGTAACCTGAAAAACGAAAGTCACAATACAATTTAAGTTGGTAATTGTTAAACTCCCTGAAAATTGTTAAGGCTAATTACAAGAAAACTTAGTGGGCGAAATCATTCGTTCATATCGGTCGATTTAGAATGTAAATCAAGCACACAAATAGACACTTACAACTGATATCGCGCATCCTTTTTAAATTGAACTTAACGATTGTTTGCAGGCGAATTATAAAGGAAAAACATTATATCAATTATGGAACAATTACAGATTAATGAAAGCCCCCCCCCTCCCCATTTTATCAATCATGTTAATAAAACAAGTGATTTTTCCATTATTTTCGTTTAGTGAGTAGTAGAAGAAAAACATTAAACAAAGATATTCTATAAGAATCAACGTGGACTTTTAAGTGTCAATTGACCATCTAAAAAGATTGAACGAGAATAACTTTTCTAAATGAGGAAAAAAGTTAAGTAGGAACACCCGTGTCTTGGACTACTAGAGATGATTGAGGAGGAAGAGAAGAGGAACAAAGAATCGGAAGGTAAAACGCGTCAGTGCTTAGAGAGTGGAATCTGGGGGTGGGTGATAAAGAGAGCCTATTGAAGTACGAAAAGGGAGTTGACAGAATTAGAAACCTTTCCCAGTTAATGAGCAATCGATGAAAAATTACGGAATGACTATAAGAGGTATGTGCTAGCTTATTCGTAAACCAATTAAATCAGAAAAGAATTGAGGATAGAATTCAATAAGTAATGAGCCAGTACACTCCATGGAAATGCGGTTCTCCATATTTGCAATCGACTTGGAATAGATTTCATGATGATCGCCGATTCTTTATCGAAGCCCATTCTCATTTCTGCCGAAAAACTCGTTATTATACCCCGCCACCTACATAAAAAATTTCATCCTTGTCGTAACTCTGGGTAAGGAAGAGTGATGAGTTAGAACTAGCAACAAACAAAACTGATGTACAACAGCCGTATCCTTTAAAGAGGACATGAAAAAGATGTATGGCAACTGCGAAAGTTTGCAAAACCAGATAGAAGAGGCAAGCGGCAAAGGAAGAAGCAATTGTATTAAAAATAATTGAGATAGCTCAGTTGCGTGAGTTATGTCGAAGGGATAGAGCGCGAAAGCCAACCCAAGAAAGGGCAAAGAGGAGACATCTTACATAATCAACCCCCCCCCCCCCCCCCTCCCCCCTCCCCCT